CCAGTTCTGCCAACATTTATTAGAAGTCACGTTTTTAAAAGCTATTCCAGAACTGAAGATGTCATTGGTTTATAAGAGGAAAATGGAAACCAAAAGCTTGCACCTCGTCGTGTGCTGTCTCTAAAAATTAAGGTTGCTGACACATGGAGTAGAAGGCTTTTACTTTACCATAATGGAAGCTTAAAATCTGTCCTTTTATTGACTCAGCTTCATTTTTAGAAATTTAAGATATAAATATAAAGCAATGTAGGATATCATTCTTTACACTCTTTATGTTCTCTGGGAACTTCTCTAATGTGAAATGTGTTCAAAACGGAAAAAGATCTTTAAAATACTCCAAGTATTCTATGGTATAGTATTGAACACACTATATTCTTCCTCACTCTCAGAGAAGCAGTTATAGTGGTATACCCTTCCCTCTATTGTACTTCCTATTGCCAGAAATAGGCAATAGGGCAAAACAAAGAGTTTTCCCTTTGTTGTGCAAAATGACTGTGTCCTTGAGGAATGTTTGGATGCTCTTGGCAACCGGGAATCAATCAGAAGCATATGAGGTGGTATGTTATGTTGTCAACAGTTATGTTGTCAACATTACAACAGTGGGGAAAACCCACACATCCCAATGAAAGAGGAAAACTTACAGAAAGTTTCCAGTATGTTTTCTTCAAGAGATATTTATTCCTATTACCTCAGAAGATCAGGTTTTACAATCTAAGGCTCACTTTGCTTAAAAGCTGATTCTTCCAGAAGGTATAAGTGGCATCAGAAGACCCCATAAACAAAGCATTATGGCATCATCAGAGCCACCTACCATGACAGATAATAATAAGGAAAAACTGAGGTTACAGGAATTCTAACATTCCTCACAGTAGAACTTGGGTTTCATATATGTAGAAAGGATCTTTGTGGAGTATCCTTTCTAGGAGATACTAAATAACACATAATTATCTATCTTGTTCATTTTTTCATTAATATTTAGTAGAAAGAGCTTGACATACTCAGGAGCCAAAACAGTGACTTTCAGATAGTGTAGGGGTATATAATTATCTCCAGTGAGCATGAAATGTTTATGTCTAAAACACTTAATTATGCAATGTTTGAAGACTAGTCTCACATCTCATTTGTTTCTCAGAGTGGAGCTTACTATTAGATAGGCAAAAGTTAAAATGTGTGACAATACCAAAAGTGGGAGAGGAAATGGAGCTTTCATTAAACTCTATAGGAGTGAAACTGGTACAATCACTTTGGAAAATAGTTCAGCAATAATGAAGTCAAAGTCTCCCCATATCCTTACAGAATCTTTTTAATAGCATCATTTGTAATAAAAGATACTTAAGAGACATATTGGCCGAGTGTGGTGACTCATGCCTATAATCCTAGCACTATGGGAGGCTGAGGCCGAAGGATTGTTTGAGCCCAGGAGTTTGAGACCAGCCTGAGCAAGAGTAACACCCGTCTCTACTGTAAATAGAAAGAAATTAATTGGCCAACTAAAAATATATAGAAAAAATTAGCCGGGCATGGTGGCGCATGCCTGTGATCCTAGCTACTCGGGAGGCTGAAGCAGAAGGATCTCTTGAGCCCAGGAGTTGGAGGTTGCTGTGAGCTAGGCTGACGCCATGGCATTCTAGCCCCGGTGACAGAGTGAGATTCTATCTCAAAAAAAAAGAAAAAAAAAAAAATTAGCCGGGCATGGTGGCGCATGCCTGTAGTCCCAGCTACTTGGGAGGCTGAGGCAGAAGGATTGCTTGAGCCCAGAAGTTTGAGTTTGCTGTGAGCTAGGCTGATGATGCCACGGCACTCTAGCCCAGGCAACAGAGTGAGACTCTAATTCATAAAAAAAAGAGAGAAATATTGAACAAATGCAATATGTTAACCTTGTTGGGATCCTGATTCTAACTGTAAAAAAAAAAGATATTTTTGAGACAACTGGAGAAAATTAAACATAGAATTGATGTTAGGTGATTTAAGGTATATTTTTGTTAGATTTTATATTAGTATTCATTTTTTAATTTCCACAACAATTAGAAATGACCATCAGGTTGCAAGGAGGTGATTTCCCTCATCTCACAAACTACCCCTATCTCCACACCCAGAAGAACAAAAAATTAGGACACACACAAGCTGTGTGTGTGCCTGAGGTCTTCCCTTCCAAGGTAAAGGGAAAGCCTGAGACAGAAAGGACTAAATTAGCAGCTGCTTTCTGGTAGTAAAGGAAAGGAAATATGGGAAACCAAATAGTCTAGTAATATTGAAAGACCCACAAAAGGACCACTGGCAAGTGTTGCAATATTGATAATGTTTTGTTTGTTTTGTTTGTTGTTTGTTTTTAATTGTTTTGAGACAGAGTCTCACTTTGTTGCCTGGGCTAGAGTGCCATGGCATCAACCTAGCTCACAGCAACTTAAAACTCCTGGGCTCAAGTGATCCTACTGCCTCAGCTTCCTGAGTAGCTGGGACTACAGGCACACATCACTATGCCCGGCTAATTTTATATATATATATTTTTTTTTTTCTTTTTAGTTGTCCAGCTAATTTCTTTCTATTTTTTTAGTAAAGATGGGGTCTCGCTCTTGCTCAGGCTGGTCTCGAACTCCTGAGCTCAAAGAATCTGCCCGCCTCAGCCTCCCAGAGTGCTAGTATTACAGGCATGAGCCATCGTGCCCAGCTACGATATTGATAATGTATTGGGATTTATGAATGATTTTGTCCAGTGATTCACTAGACTGAGAGAGCACTGCTGTGAGGATTTGTTTACTGGAGTATGAAGAGACAAAGTTGACAAGGCCTTGCTTGAATGTGTCTCCATAGAGTAGTTTGTTCTTTCTTAGTCTCCTAGTGGCTGATCTCACCAAAGAAATGGAGGCAATTTGGCAACCAACAGCTTGTTTATTGAATATTGGGAAAGGCACCAAACTAAGAATCCAAGGTTATACTCTTATCCTAGCTCTGTCTTTAGCAAGCTTGGACAAGGCTCATAATCAATTTGGGTTTATTTCCTTATTAATAAAATGAACAAGTCAAACTGGATAATCTTTATAGTTTCTTCCAGATTTCAAATTCTGTGCATCTATTAAAAAGAATCAAAATTTAAAATGATTTCTGTAGCTGTAGATAAAATTGGGGTAAAAAAGAAAAAAAAAGAAGAAAAAAGTTTTATAAAAAAAATAAAATGATTTGCTTAAAATACCATGTTAAAAAGTCTAAGATAGTGCTCACTTTGGTAGCACATATACTAAAATTGGAACGATACAGAGAAGATTAGCATGGCCTCTGTGCAAGGATGACACGCAAATTCATGAAGCATTCCATATTATATATATAAAAAAGCCTAAGATAAAATGCAATGGAAATGCTATGCTATTTTTTGAGTTTGAAAATCACTTTTGTAAATATATTAAGGAATGAACTTGGATTCATTGTAATTAATGTAGAAATACTAGGAGGAAGGGTTTATTTAACAATTTTAAAATGTTAATGTAATCCAATCGAATTATAGATTGCATTTCATAACAAATCTCCACATTCACAATTTAGAGTAATACTTTACAAAAGGCTTATCTCCACAATTTAGAGTGATACTTTAAGGAAGGCATATCTACAAAGCAAAAGTGTGTTTTTAAAAATAATTTTAAACCCAAACCAATCATTTTATGTAAATCTTTATAAAGGACAAAGAAAATTAACAAAACAACAGTATGTATGACTTATTCTACGTGTCAAAGATAGCTGATATATATCTGGTTTGCAGATAAATTGTGAATCCGGAGAACTTTTACTCATTTTCTTTGCCCCTGTCTAGTAAGAGTTCTTTTACACATATTTGCATCCCTTGAGTACATTCCTTGTTCATTTGTCCCCTAGGGCTCTTACCTAACATGTCCATAGCAAGTTATTACTTGAAAAAGCTATGGTTCCTTTTTTGGTGTTGTTTTGGCCATGAACACCTTAGTAATCAAATGAAATCCATAGACAACTCCACAAAAAAATGCACATACCCATGAAATTTTGTATTTCAGTAAAAGTGGGACAGCCAGATATTACATGCCACTTGAAGATGGTATAATAGGAATTAACAGAAGAAGTACTCTTGCCAAATAATCTAATCAAGATTCTGTATCTCATGATCAGTTTATAGGAAATACAGGGTGAGAGAAGTGCAAAATAGAGGAACTTATTAAACCATATAATGAGACTGCAAACCAAGGCCAGATTATAGGAAATTTTACAGGACAAATGACACAGTTTCTTCAATAAATGCTGTAAAAGAGAGGCGGAGGGAAACTGCCATAGATTACAAAATACTTAGGAGACATATTAAACAAATGTAATATGTTAACTTTGTTTGGATCTTGATTCAAACAAACCAAGTATAAGAAGACATTTTTTAGACAACAGGAGAAATTTCAACATGGACTACATGTAGTTTTTAAAAAACAGATTGAAAGAACATTAGAGAGGAAATGATAAATGTGGAAGTCATATAAGTATCATCAAATATATAGGCATAGGTGGTAGTGTCTGAAGAAAAACAGTGAATTGAACAGAAAAAAAATATTAAAAGATAGGTCACATAATCAGAAATAAATATTTGGTCTTTGTCCTAGGTTCCTAACACAGAACTCCTAAAACCCTTGTAATTTCCTGAGTGATAGGAACATCTTGTTCTAATGTTGTGATTCTTGGCAAGCTCCTAGATGGCTTCAGATGGAGGCTAGTTACCAGAAAGATCACACCTTGATTAGAATCCTGAAACTTTCAGCCTCCAACCCCAACTGCTGGGGAGAGGAGAAGAGCTGGAGATGGACTTAGTAACTGATCATGCCTACATGAGAAAACCCTGATAAAAAGCTTGAAATGTTGGGGTTCAAAGAACTTCTGAATTCCTAAATCCATCCACATGCTAGGAGAGGACACAAGCTCCCATGCTCTGGACTCTTCCAGACCTTGCCTTATGTACCTCTTTATCTGGCTATTCGTTTGTTTTTTTTTATTATTAATAAAGTAGAATAACATTTATTTATTTCTTAAAATTTTTATTATACATGCTGTATTCAAGGAAATTCAAGACCTTTAAAGAACTCAAATTAGATATAAATTAAGTTCAGCTCTGAGCTGGATCCAAGTTATATTTTGGCATAGAAACAGTTAAGCTGCAACTTTCTTTTCCTTATAGGTTACCAACATTTTCTTGATTTCAGCAATAGCCTTCCCTGGATTCAGACCCTTGGGACAGGTCCTTGTGCAGTTCATGATGGTGTGGCAGTGGTACAGAGAGAACGGGTCCTGCAGCTTGGCCAGGTGCTCCTCTGTGAAGTCGTCTCTGGAGTCAATCATCCAGCAGTAGGCCTGCATAAGAACCACAGGCCCCAAATATCTGTCTCCGTTCCACCAGTAGCTGGGGCAGCTGGTGCTACAGCAGGCACAGAGAATGCAGTCGTAGAGCCCATCCAGTTTCTCATGATCTTCTGTGGACTGCAGATACTGCTGCTTGCCTTCCTGGGATTCATCCTTCTTCTTCAAATAAGGTTCAGTGAATTTGTACTGTGCATAGAAGTTGTTCAAATCAGGAACAGATCCTTTATCACATACATATGTGGAAGAGGGTAGATTTTTGAGACTTTATTGAGGGTGGTGTCAATCCTTCAGGTACAAGTTAGAGTGTTGCCTCCGTTGATGTTTGTGGCACAAGAGCTGCAGATACCTTCTCTGCATGATCTTCGGAAGGTCAAGGTAGAATCAATTTCATTCTTAATCTTGATTAAAGCATCCAAAACCATAGGGCCACATTTATTCAGATCAATTTCGTAAGTCTGCATACAAGGTTTATCGCCAGCCTTGTTGTATGCTTTATAATATCCTTTATAAGAAACAAGTAAACATAAGTAAAGTATGTTCTGAGATCTGTGAGCTATGTTTTTTTTTTTTTTCTTTAGAGATAAGGTCTTGCTCTGTTGCCCAGGCTGGAGTGCAATGGTGTAATCATAGCTCACTGCAGCCTTAAACTCCCTGGCTCAAGTTGATCCTTCTGCCTCAGCCTCATGAGTAGCTGGGACTAAAGACATATGCCACCATACCTGGCTAATTTTTTTTACTTTTTGTAGAGATAGGGTCTTGCTGTGTTGCCCAGGCTGCTCTCAAACTCCTGGCCTCAAGTGATCCTCCTGCCTTGTCCTCCCAAAGTGCTAAGATTACAGGTATGAGCCACGAAGCCCAGCCTGTGTAAGCCATTCTAGTAAACTGTCAAACATGAAGTGGAGGCGGTGAGAACCCCTGATTTATAGTCAGTTGGTCAGAAGTATAGGAGTACCAGCACTTGTGACTGGTGCTAGAAGTGGGGATAGTCTTGTGGGACTAAAACTTTAACCTATGGCATCTGCACTAACTCATGATAGTGTTAGAATGGAATTGTTGAACATTCAGTTAGTGTCCAGAGGATCAGGGCATTGGTTGTTGGTGCCAGAAAACATCCTAAAATAACATAATAAATTATATATACATCAGTGATAAATCCAGTAAATGAGAAAATGCTAGAGGGAGTCTCACTAAGACAGGAAACAAGTAAGAGATGCCCCCATCTCTGTTACAATTTAACATTGTATTTGAAGTATAGCCAATTCAATCAGATAAGAAAACAGTTAAAATTGTTTTAATTTTGCATAATAATTAGATAGGAAAAATTTTTTTTTTTTTTTTAGGGAGTTTTAATGGTCTGGATAGATAGGAAAATTTTAAACTTTCTATTTGTAGATGTTATGATGGCATTCTCAATGATAAAGCAGTATAAAATAATTTAGTAACGTAGAAAGATAGAAGATCAACATGTAACTATCAATACTTTCACATATACAAAAAACCCTAGTTAACTATGGAAAACAGTATGACGGTTTTTCAGTAAATTAAAAATAGAATTACCGAGGCCGGGTGTGGTGGCTCATGCCTGTAAACCTAGCACTCTGGGAAGCTGAGGCAGGAGGATCGCTCGAGGTCAGGAGTTCAAGATCAGCCTGAGAAAGAGCAAAACCCCATCTCTACTAAAAGTAGAAAGAATTAGTTGGACAACTAAAAATACATAGAAAAAATTTGCTGAGCAAAAGTGGCTCATGCCTGTAGTCCCAGCTACTCGGGAGGCCAAGGCAGGAGGATTGCTTTAGCCCAGGAGTTTGAGGGTGCTCTGAGCTAGGCTGATGCCACAGCACTATAGCCCGAGAAACAGAGTGAGACACTGTCTCAAAAAAAAAAAAAAAAAAAAATAGAATTACCATATGATGCAGCAGTTTCACTTCTGGATATATACCCCAAAGAATTAAAAGCAGGTTCTCGGAGATATCTGTACATCCATATTTATAGCAGCATTATTCATAATAACTAAAATGTGGATGCAAACCAAGCGTTCATCAAAAGATGAATAGATAAGGAAAATGTGGTCTATACATACAATGGAATATTATTCAGACTTAGAAAGGAAATTCTGACATGTGCTACAACATGAATGAACCTTGAGGATATTATTGCTAAATGAAATAAGCCAATTGCCAAAAGACAAATACAGTCATATGCCACATAATGATGTCTTGGTCAATGACACATGAAGGATGGTAGCCCTGTACGATTATAATGAAGCTGAAGAAGTCCTATTGCTTAGTGATGTGTAGCCATTGTAACTTTGTAGCACAATGAATTACTCACATGTTTGTGGTGATGTTGGTATAAACAAACCTACTGTGCTGCCAATGGTATAAAAAGTACACGGTAATGTCTTAGGTCTTCACATTCACTCATTGGCTCACCCAGAGCAACTTCCAGCCCTGCAAACTCCATTCATGGTAAGTGCTGTTGACCTAAATAATAAAGAGAGAGGCTCTCTAAAAGAAAATGATGTTTATTTGGGGATAGGGTATTTCAATGGGAATATGTGTGCCATAATAAACTATGTGCATATTCAGGAAGGTAAAGGAAGACAAAGGTTTGTAAAGGAAAAATGAGGAAGATTACATAATTGTTTTGAGATAATTTACTACAAGTGACTCCATTTTAATTCTTTTATGTATTTTTTTCTATTTTTTGAGACACCATCACCCAGACTACAGTGCAGTAGTGTCATCATAGCTCACTGCAACCTCAAACTCACAGGCTCAAAAGATCCTCCTGCCTCAGCCACCTGAGTAGCTAGGACTACAGGTGCACACAGCCACACCTGGCTAATTTTTTCTATTTTTTATAGAGATGGGGGTCTTGCTATGTTGCTCAGGCTGGTCTTGAACTCCTGGCCTCAACCAATGCTCCCGCCTTGGCCTCCCAAAGTTCTAGGATTACAGGTGTGAACCACTGCTCCTGACTTCCATTTTCATTCAGATAACTTTCACATTTCCCCTTTTTGGTCAGGATCTTTCTCCAAAAGCATCACTGATCAGTCATCCTGTAGTTAGGTTTTGATTGTTCCTCAGTGCCAGGATGGACCTGTCCCTGGTTGCTGGTCCAGCCCCATGTGGGAGATAGTGGTTGGCCTCTAGGAGTCAGTGTCAAAACCCTTTTAGCCACATTTGAGCAACAAGGGAGGTTTGAAGGGAGTGCCTCTCAGCCTAAGTCTACCTGGAGTTCATTGTTAAATTCAATTTTGTCTGTCCTGTAGTCTATCATCTCCAAGTTCTGGGCCAGCATTATTCTGTTAAGAGTTGTACTAACAACTCCTTGAAGCAAGGCAAAAATTTAATAAGTAACAGATACAAAGTTTAGAAGGGAAAATACAAAGTAAAATTAAGAGTCAATAATAGTAACGTGGTAGTCCTAGTTCGCATAATGATTTTGAGCCATGAACCTAGTCTCAAAACAACCAGTTGAATAAATCAAATGGCCTTTAACCTATCAAGTGAGAAGATAGGCACTAATAGGTCTGAGAGTCTCATTATGATGTTCAATCTTGTTCTCACTTCTTGAGAAAAGTTGTCTATAGCATGAAAGTGTCCTGGTTTGTAGTTTGAATATCAGCAGTTATGACATTGAGCAGTTTGGTTTACTTTTTGTGTGGCCCATATATCAGGCATGAGACTTTTTCCTTAAAATTCACTTAGTTTGGCTTATAGGCTTCAGAAAAAGCAGTTCCTATTTTTAGTGATTTCATGGAGGAAAGTTGAGTTGGAGGAACCTAGAAGAATTTGGGATCTAGCCTAGGCTATAGTTTGATAACAAGAACTCAAAAACAATGTATAGGGCTACAATCTTATAATAGGTGTATTATAAATTATCTTTTATCGTGCCAGCATACGATATTATAATGTATTGGGATTTATGAATGATTTTGTCCAGTGATTCACTAGACTGAGAGAGCACTGCTGTGAGGATTTGTTTACTGGAGTATGAAGAGACAAAGTTGACAAGGCTTGCTTGAATGTGTGTCCATAGAGTAGTTTGTTCTTTCTTAGTCTCCTAGTGGCTGATCTCACCAAAGAAATGGAGGCAATTTGGCAACCAACAGCTTGTTATATTGAATATGGGAAAGGCACCAAACTAAGAATCCAAGGTTATACTCTTATCCTAGCTCTGTCTTTAGCAAGCTTGGACAAGGCTCATAATCAATTGGGTTTATTTCCTTATTAATAAAATGAACAAGTCAAACTGGATAATCTTTATAGTTTCTTCCGATTTCAAATTCTTGCATCTATTAAAAGAATCAAAATTTAAAATGATTTCTGTAGCTGTTAGATAAATTGGGGTAAAGAAAAAAAAAGAAGAAAAAGTTTTATAAAAAATAAAATGATTTGGCTTAAAATCCATGTTAAAAATCTAAGATAGTGCTCACTTTGGCAGCACATATACTAAATTGGAACGATACAGAGAAATTAGCATGGCCTCTGTGCAGAGGATGACACGCAAATTCATGAACATTCCATATTATATATATAAAAAAGCCTAAGATAAAATGCAATGGAAATGCTATGCTATTTTTGAGTTTGAAATCATTTTGTAAAATATTAAGGAATGAATTGGATTCATTGTAATTAATGTAGAATAACTAGGAGGAAGGGTTTAATTTAACAATTTAAAATGTTAATGTAATCCAATCGATTATAGATTGCATTTCATAACAAATCTCCCATCACAATTTAGAGTAATACTTTTACAAAGGCTTATCCCCCAATTTAGAGTGATACTTTAAGAAAGGCATATCTACAAAGCAAAAGTGTGTTTTTAAAATAATTTTAAACCAACCAATCATTTTGTAAATCTTTATAAAGGACAAAGAAAATTACAAAAACAGTATGTGTGACTTATTCTACGTGTCAAAGATAGCTGATATAATTCTGGTTTTGCAGATAAATTGTGAATCCGGAGAACTTTACTCATTTTCTTTGCCCCTGTCTAGTAAGAGTTCTTTTACACATATTGTCATCCCTTGAGTACATTCCTGTTCATTGTCTAGGGCTTTACCTAACATGTCCATAGCAAGTTTATTACTTGAAAAGCTATGGTTCCTTTTTTGGTGTTGTTTTGGCCATGAACACTTAGTAATCAAATGAAATCCATAGACAACTCCACAAAAAAAGCACATACCCATGAAATTTTGTATTTCAGTAAAAGTGGGACACCCAGATATTACATGCACTTGAAGATGTATAATAGGAATACAGAAGAAGTACTCTTGCCAAATAATCTAATCAAGATTCTGTATCTCATGATCAGTTTATAGGAAATACAGGGTGAGGAGAATGTGCAAAATAGAACTTATTACCATATAATGAGACTGCAAACCAAGGCAGATTATAGGAAATTTTACAGGACAAATGACACAGTTTTCTTCAATAAATGCTGTAAAAGAGAGGCGGAGGAAACTGCCATAGATTACAAAATACTTAGGAGACATATTAAACAAATGTAATATGTTAACTTTTTTGGATCTTTGATTCAAACAAACCAAGTATAAGAAGACATTTTTTAGACAACAGGAGAAATTTCAACATGGACTACATTAGTTTTAAAAAACGATTGAAAGAACATTAGAGAGGAAATGATAATGTGGAAGTCATATAAGTATCATCAAATATATAGCATAGGTGGTAGTGTCTGAAGAAAAACAGTGAATTGAACAGAAAAAATATTAAAAGATAGGTCACATAATCAGAAATAAATATTTGGTCTTTGTCCTAGGTTCCTAACACAGAACTCCTAAAACCCTTGTAATTTCCTGAGTGATAGGAACATCTTGTTCTAATGTTGTGATTCTTGGCAAGCTCCTAGATGGCTTCAGATGGAGGCTAGTTACCAGAAAGATCACACCTTGATTAGAATCCTGAAACTTTCAGCCTCCACCCCAACTGCTGGGGAGAGGAGAAGAGCTGAGATGGACTTAGTAACTGATCATGCCTACATGAGAAAACCCTGATAAAAAGCTTGAAATGTTGGGGTTCAAAGAACTTCTGAATTCCTAAATCCATCCACATGCTAGGAGAGGACACAAGCTCCCTGCTCTGGACTCTTCCAGACCTTGCCTTATGTACCTCTTTATCGGCTATTCGTTTTTTTATTATTATAATAAAGTAGAATAACTTTATTTATCTTAAAATTTTTATTATACATGCTGTATTCAAGGAAATTCAAGACCTTTAAAGAACTCAAATTAGATATAAATTAAGTTCAGCTCTGAGCTGGATCCAAGTTATATTTTGGCATAGAAACAGTTAAGCTGCAACTTTCTTTCCTTATAGGTTACCAACATTTTCTTGATTTCAGCAATAGCCTTCCCTGGATTCAGACCCTTGGGACAGGTCCTTGTGCATTCATGATGGTGTGGCAGTGGTACAGAGAGAACGGGTCCTGCAGCTTGGCCAGGTGCTCCTCTGTGAAGTCGTCTCTGGAGTCAATCATCCAGCAGTAGGCCTGCATAAGACCACAGGCCCAAAATATCTGTCTCCGTTCCACCAGTAGCTGGGCAGCTGGTGCTACAGCAGGCACAGAGAATGCAGTCGTAGAGCCCATCCAGTTTCTCATGATCTTCTGTGGACTGCAGATACTGCTGCTTGCCTCCTCGGATTCATCCTTCTTCTTCAATAAGGTTCAGTGAATTTGTACTGTGCATAAATTGTTCAAATCAGGAACAGATCCTTTATCACATACATATGTGGAAGAGGTAGATTTTGAGACTTTATTGAGGTGGTGTCAATCCTTCAGGTACAAGTTAGAGTGTTGCCTCCGTTGATGTTTGTCACAAGAGCTGCAGATACCTTCTCTGCATGATCTTCGGAAGGTCAAGGTAGAATCAATTTCATTCTTAATCTTGATTAAAGCATCCAAAACCATAGGGCCACATTTATTCAGATCAATTTTCGTAAGTCTGCATACAAGGTTTATCGCCAGCCTTGTTGTATGCTTTATAATATCCTTTATAAGAAACATAAAACATAAGTAAAGTATGTTCTGAGATCTGTGAGCTATGTTTTTTTTTTTTTTTTCTTTAGAGATAAGGTCTTGCTCTGTTGCCAGGCTGGAGTGCAATGGTGTAATCATAGCTCACTGCAGCCTTAAACTCCCTGGCTCAAGTTGATCCTTCTGCCTCAGCCTCATGAGTAGCTGGGACTAAAGACATGTGCCACCATACCTGCGCTAATTTTTTACTTTTTGTAGAGATAGGGTCTTGCTGTGTTGCCCAGGCTGCTTCAAACTCCTGGCCTCAAGTGATCCTCCTGCCTTCTCCCAAGTGCTAAGATTACAGGTATGGGCCCGAAGCCCAGCCTGTGTAAGCCATTCTAGTAACTGTCAAACATGAAGTGGAGCGGTGAGAACCCCTGATTTATAGTCAGTTGGTGAAGTATAGGAGTACAGCACTTGTGACTGGTGCTAGAAGTGGGGATAGTCTTGTGGGACTAAAACTTTAACCTATGGCATCTGCACTAACTCATGATAGTGTTAGAATGAATTTGAATTTATTCGAGTTAGTGTCCAGAGGATCAGGGCATTGGTTGTTGGTGCCAGAAAAACTTCTAAAATAACATAATAAATTATATATACATCATGTAACGTAAATGAGAAAATGCTAGAGGGAGTCTCACTAAGAAAGGAACAAGTAAGAGACCCCATCTCTGTTACAATTTAACATTGTATTTGAAAGTATCGCCAATTCAATCAGATAAGAAAACAGTTAAATTGTTTTAATTTTGCATAAATAATTAGATAGGAATTTTAAACTTTCCTATTTGTAATGTTGCTGTGAGCTAGGCTGATGATGCCACGGCACTCTAGCCCAGGCAACAGAGTGAGACTCTAATTCATAAAAAAAAGAGAGAAATATTGAACAAATGCAATATGTTAACCTTGTTGGGATCCTGATTCTAACTGTAAAAAAAAAGATATTTTTGAGACAACTGGAGAAAATTAAACATAGAATTGATGTTAGGTGATTTAAGGTATATTTTTGTTAGATTTTATATTAGTATTCATTTTTTAATTTCCACAACAATTAGAAATGACCATCAGGTTGCAAGGAGGTGATTCTCCCTCATCTCACAAACTACCCCTATCTCCACACCCAGAAGAACAAAAAATTAGGACACACACAAGCTGTGTGTGTGCCTGAGGTCTTCCCTTCCAAGGTAAAGGGAAAGCCTGAGACAGAAAGGACTAAATTAGCAGCTGGACTTTCTGGTAGTAAAGGAAAGGAAATATGGGAAACCAAATAGTCTAGTAATATTGAAAGACCCACAAAAGGACCACTGGGCAAGTGTTGCAATATTGATAATGTTTTGTTTTGTTTTGTTTGTTTGTTTGTTTTTTAATTGTTTTTGAGACAGAGTCTCACTTTGTTGCCTGGGCTAGAGTGCCATGGCATCAACCTAGCTCACAGCAACTTAAAACTCCTGGGCTCAAGTGATCCTACTGCCTCAGCTTCCTGAGTAGCTGGGACTACAGGCACACATCACTATGCCCGGCTAATTTTATATATATATATATTTTTTTTTTTTTTTCTTTTTAGTTGTCCAGCTAATTTCTTTCTATTTTTTTAGTAAAGATGGGGTCTCGCTCTTGCTCAGGCTGGTCTCGAACTCCTGAGCTCAAAGAATCTGCCCGCCTCAGCCTCCCAGAGTGCTAGTATTACAGGCATGAGCCATCGTGCCCAGCTACGATATTGATAATGTATTGGGATTTATGAATGATTTTGTCCAGTGATTCACTAGACTGAGAGAGCACTGCTGTGAGGATTTGTTTACTGGAGTATGAAGAGCAAAGTTGACAAGGCCTTGCTTGAATGTGTCTCCTTAGAGTAGTTTGTTCTTTCTTAGTCTCCTAGTGGCCTGATCTCACCAAAGAAATGGAGGCAATTGCACAAC